CCAGGCGGGTCTCGAACCCGCTGGCTCAAGCAATCCACTCACCTCAGCCTCCCAAAGGCGCGGGATTACAGGCTGAACCACTGAGCCCGGCTTAAAAACATTTTTTAAAAGAGCACAAGCAAACAAACAAAAACCAAAAAAAAACCAAAAAGAGCACAAGCAACAAAAATTGAAAAAAAAAGTTGGATAAATGGAACACTGCCAAAATCAAAACCCTTTGTACTTCAAAAATACTAACAAGAAAGTGAAAAGGCAAACACAATGGGAGAAAAATTTTTCAAATAATATATCTGATAAGGGACCTGTGTCTAGACTATATAAAGAGTGCTTACAATTCAACAATAAAGAAAGAAACAACCCAATTAAACATGGGTAAAGAGCTCAACAGCCATTTCTCCAAAGACACACAAATGGCCAATAAGCTCAGGAAAAGATGCTCAGCATCATTGACCGACGATCAAGGAAATGCAAATCAACATCACGACAGTCTACTTCACATCTGCTATGAATACAAGTTTTTTAAAAAAGAACATATCCACTGTTGGTGAGGATGTAGGGAAATCAGAACCCTCAGATACTGTTGGTAGGAATGTAAAGTGGCGCAACCACTTTGGAAAACAGTCTGAGCCGGGTGCAGTAGTTCATGCCTATAATCCCAGCACTTTGGGAGGCAGAGGCGAGAGGATTGCCTGAGCTGCGGGTTCGAGACCAGCCTGGGCAACTTAGCTAGACCTCACCTCTACAATAAATACATTTTTAAAAATTAGCTGGGCATAAAGGTGCATGCCTGTGGTTCCAGCTACTTGTAAGGCTGAGGCAGAAGGATTGCCTAAGCCTAGCAGGTTGAGGCTTCCACTGTACTCCAGCCTGGGCAATAGAGTGTGACTCTGACTCAAAAGAAAAAAAAGTCAAAAGTGACATTGGAGGGCTGGGCACGGTGACTCACACCTATAATCCCAGTACTTTGGGAGGCCGAGGTGAGAGGATTGCCTGAGCCTACAGGCTCAAGACCAACCTGAGTAACATGGCAAGACCTCATCTCTACAATAAATCAAAAAATTAGCTGGGCAAGATGGTGTGTGCCTGTGGTTCCCGCTACTTGGAAGACTGAGGCGGAAGGATCGCCTGAGCCCAGAAGGTCGAGGCTGCGGTAGCTCTGAGCGTGCCACTGCACTCCAGCCTGGGCAACAGAGTGAGACTCCAACTTAAAAAAAAAGTCAAAAGTGATATTGGAGAGTACAACAGGATTATGGGGGGCTTTCATTTCCTGCTTTATTCTTATTTAGATTTTCAGAGTTTCAATGATGAACACACACAGCTCTTATTTGATCTGAAAAACATCAAAAACATCAATAAGTATTCATCTATATGAGGCTCTTACAGCACAGGCTTGCAATTTGGAGAAAGGAGCATGTAGCAAAGAAATGGCAAGCAGAAAGCAAAGCCATGCAGAATGTGTTGGAGGAGACTGATGTGTTGGTGCCAGTGGGTTTGTTAATAATTGCATGGATGTCAACGGGAGTGTTGGGAGTAGGTGACCTTGTGCTGAACACCCCATCTGGTCCTTGTCCTCAGAGAAGAGCGGGGGCAGGCTTGTACTCAGACATCCCGGAATCTCCTCCTTACTTCTTTAGCCATGCAGACGGAGCAGCAGGGAGCGGGCTCACACCTGCTGGACCTGCTCACCCACCTGGACAGGTGACTCGCAGCCCTTCTCTCTCTTCCATCTTTGGCTCCTCCCCTCGCTCCAGACGGCAGATCACGTCAGGTTTTGACCCAGGAAGCCCTGTCCCAGGGAAAGATGAGAGTGTTGGCCGCAGATGCCAGGATCCCAGGGAGGCCAGGGAGAGGGCGCAGAAGCCCCCAGGCCCCAGTGAACGCCCACACTAAGCAGGGCAGCACCAATGGGAAGAGAACCCCGGGGGCCGGCAGGCCTCTCCCTGGGAAGGCTGGGCAGGGCCTCACCCAGGGACAGAAGGTTCCGGTAGTTCTCCAGCATCACGTCCCGGTACAGCTCCCTCTGGCCAGGCCCCAGCCGGCCCCACTCCTCCAGGCTGAAGTCCACGGCCACGTCCTTGAAGGTCACTGATTCCTGCAAGGGCCAATTAGACACGGTGGAGGGCACGTCTTTCTGGAACTCTGGGGCAGAAGTGTCAAGGGTCAACAGCCCACGAGTCCCCCCTGGGCTGGAGCATGCTGACTCTGCAGATCTGGGATGACTGAATGGAACTGGTCCCTGAGAATGTCGGCCACTGAGGGCAGGCGCAGCCCATAGTCACCTCGGCATAGCAGAACAAGGTGTCTTTCCCACCCATCTCTCTATTGCCTCCTGTTGGAAAATCACTGTTATACATCAATTATTTTTTAGTATATGACAGTTTACCACCAACTGCCTGAAAATTGCCACAATAAATAGGCCAGTGTATGAGGTGCAAGATGGGAATTCAGCCCATGAGAGGAGGCATCCTTGTGCAGTGTGTAACCTGCACATCTGTGCATGACAGCCCTACAAAACACTTTAAAAAGAAACTGTCAGGCCGGGCACAGTGGCTCAAGCCTATAATCCTAGCACTTTGGGAGGCTGAGGTGAGAGGATCACCCGAGCCCACAGGTTTGATACCAGCCTGGGAAACTTGGTGAGACTTCGTCAAAAAAAAAAAAAAAATTAGCTGGGTGTGGTGGCATGCACCTGTAGTTCCAGCTACTTGGAAGGCTGAGGCGAAAGGATCGCCGGAGTCCAGCAGGTCAAGCTAGGGTGGCCGTGAACGTGTCACTGCACTCCAGCCTGGGTGACAGAGTGAGACTCTGACTCAAAAAAAAAAAAAAAGAAAGAAAGAAAGAAACTATCAAGCCATTTTGTGCAAGAGATAGTCATAAATCCTTCTCTACCCTAGACCTCATCCCTGATCCCAGTCCCCATTCCTGACTCCAGGAATAAGGCTCAAGAGTGAAGCAAAACCATGCACTGCCCACTTTGCTTGGTAACCAAATGCTGCTGACTACTAGATGACTGTCACGAGGTCCCAGCTCAGAGCATCCTGCTCCTCTGCACCAGGCAGCCCCAGAGCCCCTCACTCCTCACGTGCTCTCCCCCAGTATTGGGAAGGTCAAGGGACCTTCAGATGATGCCCAGAGACGGAGCCAGCCCTCTGGAGTCCACAAAGTCATCTCGGGGAAGGGGAAGCCCAGACTCACCTGGCCTTGGGCCGTCAGGGTCCCTGTGGCCATCACTGGGTCCTGGGCATGCGCCGCTGGAGAAAGGACCAGGCCAGAGTCTGAAGTGCTGGGGAAGGAGACCGAGGCAGAGGAGGGATCAGTTGTGGCCCAGACTGACAGACAGTCGGATGGCATCCCCAAAGATGCCCAGTGACAGTCTCCTAAAGCAGAAGCAAAGGCTTTGGCCAGGTCACCCAAGGGACAGCTTCCAAACCAGTAACAATAGCATCTAGCAGCCATGGTATCAGCTGACCACATCCACATGACAGGTTTCAGATATGGGAACTATGGTTAGCCCAGATGAGGAAACTGAGGTACAAGAGGTCAAGGCCATTGCTCAAGGGCACAAAGATAACGAGTTACAGCAGGATTTTAACTCAGAAGTCTGGCCACAGGGCAAACTCCCTTCCCCCACCGCTTTTTCATATCTATATCTTTTTTTTTTTTTGAGTTGGAATCTCACTCTGTTGCCCAGGCTGGAGTGCAGTGGCATGCTCACAGCCACCCTAGCATCAAACTGCTGGGCTCAGGCAATCCTTCTGCCTCAGTCTTCCAAGTAGCCAGAACTACAGGCATTTCCTACCACACCTGACTTATTTTTTTATAAATTATAGAGTTGAAGTCTCACCAAGTTGCCCAGGCTGGTCTCAAACCCCTGAGCTCAGGCAATCCTTTCGCCTAGGCCTCCCAAAGTGCTGGAATTACAGGCTGTAGCCACCACGCCCGGCCTTTTTTTTTTTTTTTTTTAATAGGGGTCTCACTTTGTCATCCAGGCCGGAGTGTGGTAGTACAATCACTGCTCACTGCTGCCTTGACCTTCTGGACTCAGGCAATCCTGTCTCAGGCTCCCCAGTAACTGGGACTACAGGTGTGGGCCACAATGCCTGGATAAATTTTTTTGGTAGAGATTTGTTTCTATGTTGCCCAGATTGGTCTCAAACTCCTGGGCTCAAATGATCCTCCCACTTCAGTCTCCCAAAGTGCTGGAATTACAGGCGTGAGTCACCTCACCCAGCCTATACTTTTTTTATTGCAATAAAATGTCCATAAAATTTGCCATCTTAACCTTTGAAAGCGTAGTTCAGTGGCATTTAGCACATTCACAAGTTACACAAACACCACCAATATTTCCTTTCAGAACATCTGTCCCATCCTCTATGGAAAGCAGTGTGGTGATTCCTAAAAGAACTAAAAGTTGACCTTCCATATGATCCAGCAGTCCCTTTTCCTGGGAATATACCCAGAGGAACACAAATCACTCTACTAAAAAGCACATGCATGTTTATTGCAGCACTATTCACAAGAGCAAAAACATGGAACCAACCCTGGTGCCCCTCAAAAGTGGACTGGATTAAAAAAAATGTGGTACACAAGATGGAGTATTATGCAGCCATAAAGGAATGCAAAATCATGGATTTCACAGCAAATTAGATGGAGTTGGAGACCATTATACTTGGTCATCTATCACAGAAACAAAACTGAAGACAGCATATCCTCATTCCTAAGTGGGACCTGAACATTAATCACATTAGCCCAAGGATGGAATCAGCAGTCACTGGGCACTGCCAGGGGAGAAAGAAGGGGCATATGTGATAACACAAAGGGTACCTGGTCCACTACCAGGGGGAGTGAGGGCCAGTTAGAAGCCCACACTTTGGCTGGGCACAGTGGCTCAGTCTGTAATCTCAGTACCTTGGGAGGCCGAGGTGAGAAGACCGCCTGAGACCAGGGGTTCGAGACCAACCTGGGCAACTTGGCAAGACCTCGTCTCTACAATAAATCAAAAAATTACCTGGACATGGTAATGTGCACCTTTAGTTCCAGCTACTTGGAAAGCCGAGACGGAAAGATTGCCTGAGCCCTGCAGGTCGAGGCTGCAGTGGCCATGAGCATGCCACTGCACTCCAGCCTGGGAGGCAGAGTAAGACCTCGCCTCAGAAAAATGGGGGGCAAAGTGGGTCATGTCTATAATCTCAGTACTTTGAGTTCCTGAGGAGGGAGGATTGCTTGAGATCAAAGTTCAAGACCAGCCTAGGCAACACTGGCTGAAACCTGTCTCTACAAAAATTCAAAGGCTGGGTCCCATGGCTTAGCCTGTAATCCCAGCAATTTGGGAGGCTAAGGCGAGTGAATTGCCTGAACTCATGGGTTCGAGACCAGCCTGAGCAACTTGGTGAGACCTTGTCTCTACAATTAAAAAGAATAAAATTAGGCCAGGCTCGGTGGCTCAGCCTGTAATCCCAGCGCTTTGGGAGGCCGAGGTGAGTGGATTGCCTGAGCCCGCCGGTTCGAGACCCACCCGGGCAACTTGGTGAGACCTCATCTCTACAATAAAAATCAAAAAATTAGCCGGGCATAGTAGCACTCGCCTGTAGTTCCACTTACTTGGAAGGCTGAGGCGGAAGGATCGCCGGAGCCCAACAGGTCAAGGCTGTGGTGGCCGGAAGCGGCCACTGCACTCCAGTCTGGGTGACAGAGTGAGACTCCAACTCAAATAAATAAATAAATAAATAAAAATAAAATTAGCTGACTGTGGTAGTGCGTGCCTGTAGTTCTGGTTGCTTGGAAGGCAGTGAGGCAGAAGCATCACTGGAGCCCAGCTGGTCTATGCTGGGGTGGTCGTGAGTGTGCCATGGCACTCCAGCCTGGGCGACAGAGTGAGACTCCAACTCAAAAAAAAAAATTTTTTTTCCAAGAAGTTAGCTGGATGTGGTGCTGTGTGCCTGTAGTTCCAGCTACCCAGGAGGCTGAGGCAAAAGGCTTCCCTGAGCCCAGGAGGTCAAGTCTGTGGTGAGCTGTGATTGTGCTACTGCACTCCAGCCTGGGCAACAGAGCGAGACCCCGACTCAAAAAAAAAAAAAAAAAAAAAGATGGAGAAAGAGGCTACAACCTAAGGAAGGCAGGTGGCCACTAGACACCAGAAAAGGACCCCTAGCGGCCCGCTAACACTTTGATTTCTGCCCAGGGAAACCCGTTTCAGACTTGGGGCCTCTGGAACTTAAGAGGATAGATACATCTGTGTGTGTTTTAAACCACTAAGTGTGTGGTGACTGGTTACAGCAGCCATGGGCAACTCATACCGTCCACAAGATGAAAAGATTCAGCGCCTCACACACAGGCCCAGATTCACAGGGACACGTGTGAGGATGAAACAGCAGGTGAAATTCTGATGAGGAAATAAAAGGTAGAGTCCTAACGATCTCCCCAGGAATCCCTTGTTAATTACAAACAGAAGCGGGTGACCTCAGAGAGGAAACACCCGGCAGACGCCACTGAAGCCAAGTGCGTGAGACTGATGTGCCATGTTCTGGGGAGACTGACCCCAGGGGCCACCACATCACCTCCAGGACGTTCTGGCCAGAAACACGAATCCTAAATCTGATCATGAGGAAACACTGGACAAACTAAACTGTGGGGCATTCTGCAAGCGCCTGTGTCATCTTCAGAACTGTTGAGTTCATGAAGGTCAAGAAAAGACTGGGCCAGGCACGGTGGCTCAAGCCTGTAATCCCAGCACTTTGGGAGGCCGAGGCGAGGGGACTGCCTGAGCCCACAGGTTCGAGACCCGCCTGGGCAAATTGGCGAGACCTCATCTCTACAATAAATTAAAAAAAAATTAGCCAGGCGTGGTAGCACGTGCCTGTAGTTCCAGCTACTTGGAAGCCTGAGGCGGAAGGCTCACCAGAGCCCGTCAGTTTGACGCTGGGGTGGCTGTGAGCGTGCCATGGCACTCCGGCCTGGGTGACGGAGTCACACTCCGACTCAAAAGAAAAAGAAAAATGAAAAGACTGACGACCCGTTGCAGATGGAAGGAGACCAAGGAGGCGTGACAACTATTGCAGTGTGTATTCTGGAATTTTCTTTCACTGTTAAAGACACTGTTGGGGGTATTGGCAAAAATTTGAGTCAGATCTGTGGAGTAGCAAATAGCATTGTATAGATGTGAACTTTCTCATGGTGGTGATGGTGCTTTGGTTATGTAAGAAAATGACCCTGTTTTTTGAATATGAAGAGAGATTCACTGTAGGGCTGGGAGAGGGAAAAGGGTGCAGAGAGCCAGAAAGAGAAGGACAGAGACCCAGAGAGAGGGGGGCCTGAGACATGGGGGTTGGGGACAGAGACCCAGAGGGGGGAGGGACAGAGACCCAGAGATAGAGGGACAGAGACACAGAGAGAGACAGAGACATCGAGAGAAGAGGACAGAGACCCAGAGAGAGAGGATGACAGAATCCCTGGGGTGGGGGGACAGAAACCTAGAGAGAGAGGGACAGGGACACAGGCTCTTGGGCTTTGGGGTGGCAATATTCGAAAGAGAGAAAGGGACAGAGACCCAGGGTGGGGGGCAAACACCCAGAGAGGGGGACATGGAGAGAGGGAGAAAGAGAGACACAGAGAGTGAGAGAAAGAGAGACAGAGACCCAGAGAGAGGTGGCAGAGACTCAGAGAGTGGACAGAGTCGGGGGGCGGGGACTCAAAGAGACCCAGACCCAGAGAGAGAGAGAGAGAGAGAGAGAGAGAGAGAGACAGAGAGAGACAGAGAGATTGAGAGTGAGTGAGAGAGAGACAGAGAGAGAGAGAGAGAGAGACAGAGAGATTGAGAGTGAGTGAGAGAGAGACAGAGAGAGACAGAGAGAGAGAGAGAGAGAGAGAGAGAGAGAGAGAGAGAGACAGAGAGAGACAGAGAGAGAGAGAGAGAGAGAGAAGACAGAGACTCCGAGATGGGAGCCAGAGCCTGAAGCGGTGGTGGTGAGTGGAAGATGAGAGACTCAGAGAGAAGAGAATCCAAGGTTAAGAGAGACAGAGCCCGGGGGTGTGACCGTGCAGTGTTGCTCTTGGGCTTTGGGGTCAGAATATCGGGGTTCCGGGTCTACCACGTAATAGCTCTGGGGCCCAAGAGAAGCCACGGAGTCTCCCCAGTCTCAGTCTCTCGCGCAGGCCCACGCTGCGTCGGACTCCCGCAAACAGCAGGCGCCCAATTCCTGCGCGTGGAGTCACGGATGCCA